ACACACACACACACACACACACACACACACAGAGAATGCTTGAAAACTATGGCTAATTGACCTGAAGAACCAAAGAAGGATATCTCTTTCTCTGTTAGCGTTGAATGTTCAATGCGTTTGATTATTCTTATGTCAATGGAGTTCTACATATATTTCTTCAGTCTGAGGGGTGATAGGTTGTATGCATGACCAGGTTGGTAATGTTGAAACTTTAAATTGTTACTATGCTCATGGAGAGCAGAACCCCAATTTTCAGAGGCGTAGCTATTGGATGCTGGATCCGTAAGTGTACTCCATAGTATATTTATTTACAGCATTCATTTCCTGATATGAAATATTTAGCCATCCATTTTGAGCCTTGGGGAGGCATATTTGCTAATTTTTTAGTTCTTTGGCAGGGCATATGAGCATATTGTTCTCGTTCATTATAGGGAGATAAATGAGGTGAGTTTGGGTATTTAGATTAATAACTTTCATTATGTCTGCTAGAATTGAATTCTGTCCCGCCAGATGCTCTTACCCTAAGCATGGTTCCCATGCTATCTCTTTGATGGGATGAGTTTTCTTACAACACTTCTTCTATGTGTAGCTGGTATTCAATATAACTTTTACCGATTCCCATGAGGGGTAGACATGCTTTGCTTTATCTTCTAAACTAATGTCACTCTTCATGTTTATGTACAGACTAAGCCCAGTTCTGCATCCATTGTGCAGTCACCAGTATCCTCTTCTGGTTTTAGTTTGAGTCCAAACTCTTATACTTCTCAAAATCCTGGATCCAACTCCCTTGCTAGTGATGTTCATGAACCGTATCAGAATTTATCTAGTCCTGGGTCTGTTGAAGTTAGTTCTGATATAGTCATTAAGAACAATGGAATAGATAACACAGTAGAGTATGCTAGTCCAGCTGATCTTCAAGTTAGTCAGGCTTTAAAGAGACTTGAGGAGCAGTTAAGTTTGAATGAGGACAGCTTCAAAGAAATGAGTCCATTGTGCAGCCTGGATGGTGATACAAACGATTCTAGAGTTCTGGAATATGGAAGAGAGATCACCAAGCAGGAATTACAAGCAGATCTACTGTACGAACCAAATGATATTGTTCAGGATCACCTTTATTCTCAACATACTAGGGTGGAAAATTATTCAAATACCTTCGGGCTGCTTCCAGATGGAGGTTTGTTATTTTTCCAACTGTCAAAATCAGCATAATACTTTATTTTTTATCTTCCATGTTTGCTCGGAATTATTTATTTTAGTTGACTTGGTGAAATTTTCACATATTAAGTTTCTATCCTGAAAAGCAATATGCCAATTGAATGACAAAGCTTTTTCTCTTGATTTTGTTGTTCATGATAGCTTTTATGCATTTTTATGCTCTCTACTGTCAAAAACCCATTCAAGAAAAGTTGAATATTGTGCAACGTTTGTTACTGAAGAGATTGTAGCCTGATAATAAATCTTAATCTCAACTGCCTATTTAAATGCATATATGCATTGAATTGCCAGAGGCAGATGCCTATAGTCACTACTATTGCAATTGTACAAACTCAGAAGAAAACAGTGAAGATGTTGGATCAAAAAGTTTAGAAGGGCCTTAATGTTCAATATCTATTAAATAGAGGCAATAATCCCAACCTTTGTACTAATCAAATTCAGGAATCATGAAGAAGATTTTTAATACACTTTTATAGCTTGATAGATTGAAGAACTTTGGCCAATATTTGATCATATGTGGAGACAATGTTCACTTTTAAATTACTATTGTGACAGAGTGAAAATTCAGTTAGCCATAGTTCTTAGCCCCTATATGTTTGACAACCCCCACCCCTTTTCAAATGAGGAAAAAGAAAAGGCCCTATGTCTACGCTCCACGGTAAGAAGAGTAGAGCGGTTGAAATCACACCCAAGGTATTTGCCGTACTTTGAAAAACTGTAAATTTCAAAAGTGCCCCACAA